ACAGTGATACTGTGTACGTTGAGAACTCTGAAAGATCTCAGAACGCACACAGAGGTAAGTTCATCGTCTTCGAACTTAACTTGCGGTACAGTGTTTACGATGCGCCAAAACGAGATACCTGCAGGTGTTTCGTGGGTCAGTTCATTTCGGTGCCATGTTAGAGGTGTCGCAGCCAGCCTCGCGATATCGTCGCTCTACGCAGGCTCTTCCACTGTTGGTGTTCTCTGCTGCTGTAGAGAATTAATCTGGATGAATAATCAGTGTTCAGCTATCATTGCGGCGAAAATGTATTTCGTGCTCTTGATTGTGGTGGTGGTTAAATCACGTTTTTGCACTCACGTGATGAATGTCGTGATTGACGTAAGTGGCAGCTTTTACACTGCTCCTATGCAAAGTAGGCACTCGATTTATGCGTTTATCGAGGAAACTAAAACTCAATCTGTAATAGAGTTTGTTGTGTTCTTGGTACTTAGAGCTATTCACAGTCAAGTTAACAAGCTTTAACTTTTAATGTTTTTCGTGACTGGCGCTGAGAAAGGTGTGTAGAAGAGTTTAAAAGCTCACTTTTTGCCGGTTTAGGGAAGTTGGGGGAGGGGACTGTTTCTGATTGATTGATTGATATGTGGGATTTAACGTCCCAAAACCACCATATGATTATGAGAGACGCCGTAGTGAAGGGCTCCGGAAATTTCAACCACCTGGGGTTCTTTAACGTGCACCGAAATCTGAGCACACGGGCCTACAAAATTTCCGCCTCCATTGGAAATGCAGCTGCCGCAGCCGGGATTCGAACCCGCGACCTGCGGGTCAGCAGCCGAGTACTTTAGCCACTAGACCACAGCGGCGGGGCAGGACAGTTTCTGTCGAGTAGGAGGACACAATTGTATAACGACAAACAAACGTGCGGATCTAAATCATCTAAAATTTTTAACTCTAAATGCAGAAGTGTAATATTTTGGTTGGATCAATTTATGTACTAGCATGTCGCCTCTTTCAAGAAGTGTTGTGTTTTGTTGCTTTTGCAGAAAACACGGAAAAAAATTTGGTGAGGTTAGCTAGCCAGACATGGTCAAGTGAATGAAAAGAGACGTGCTTTCAGGTAAGGTGGCTACAAATTACACGTGGCTAGGTGCCAAAGGGAAATTGCACTTCAGAAGACAGCATGCTGCCAAATCCTGCTTAGTATTATTCTTTATGCACTACTTTATTTCTTCAAGCAAATCTTGTGTATCACCCATTGCATTGTTGTTGACATATTTGGACAGCATATTTAGCTGCTCAACATCGGAATGTTGAGATCCGCTTATGATGGCTTATGTTAGCTACAATCAAGCATAGAGACAAGAGTGCTTTTCAACTCAGTAGTTATGACATTTCAGTTGCAGAGAAAGCTCATACCCTTAGTAAGTCAGACAAGTTGGTTGTTGAAACAAATGCCCAGTGTTCATCTGTTCTTGCAGTGTTTTTATGATCGAAAATAGCACAGTGGAAAGTTTTAAGCAAAATATCATGCATGAGACACACTATTCGAAGGTCATGTATTCGTTCAAATATATATATATATATATATATATATATATATATATATATATTGATTGATTTGTGGGTTTTAACGTCGCAAAACCACGGCATGATAATGAGAGACACCGTAGTAGAGGGCTCCGGTAATTTCAACCACCTGGGGTTCTTTAACGTGCACCCACATCTGAGTACACGGGCCTACAACATTTCCGCCTCCATCAGAAATGCAGCCCCGCTGCAGCCGAGATTCGATCCCACGACCTGCGGGTCAGCAGCTGAGTAGCTTAGCCACTAGACCACCGCGGTGGGTCATATATATATATATTGCAGTGTACACGTATCCAGAAGAATTATGGCCACTAGCATGGGTCTGGTTTTAGCAAGCCACAGGGCAGACGTTAACCGTTGTTGTCGTGGCGAGAGTAAGGTACTGCTCAAGGTCGCAACATTTTGCCTGCGGCAACACCAACAAGTGTACAGAGCCCGTTGCAAAGGTGCGGTGGGAAAGCAAATGGGCTTATCTATGCCACGGGCGAGAAGTACTACACAGGGGTGCCGCGAGCACGTATCCGTGGTAGAAGTGATTCACGGTAACATCGGGACAAAGGCCCGGTTGCCCGAGCGAAGGCGAATGCGCTCGTGTTGGCTACAGAGAGATACGGGTCGACGTAGCATGGCCACGCACTAAGACACCGCACCGCTCTTCGGCCCAGCGTTCGCAAAGGGGCAACAAAAAGTGAGCGTTCGCCGCGGGCGCGAGGCGCCGTTAGGGAAGTCCGATGAGTCCCAAACAATAGGAGTTGATGGACGGAAAAGAAATACGTGCTCACCCTCAGTCTTCTTGGAGAGATCAGACTTACTCCCGAGGCGAGCGCGCAAAACATCCCGAGAGACTTTGCGCACAGCACCACAGTCGACATCCGCTACCGGTTGAGAGGAGTTAAACGTCACTCCCCGCTCTCCCAGCGCGGCAGACTGTGGAGGAGAGTCACATCGGGACATTAAAATGACAGAAATAGGCGGCAAAGCCCGCAAAAAGGCGGCGGGCTAGCCTCACTCGCCACTATATATATATATATACATATATATATATTTATAAGTCGTAATGGTGTACTTCACGTTTGTATGTAAAAAAAGATAAGTTGTGCAAATTAATCTATATCTCATCTTTGCAGCATGCCAGGATTCTAATATTGTGTTTGGGTTTTCCTTCTGCTCTGTGCACAACAGAGATGTGTTCTAGCACTTTTCGATCGCCAATGACATTGTTAAATGTTTTTGTGTGTTTCAATTGGTTTCCTCTTACAGTTGCACAAAACCAGATCTATTGTTTTATAGATTTATAATATTGGTAATGTGTTTCTATGGTGACCAGCTTTCAGTGAGCAAAATGTGCTTTATGTGGTCAACTACGGGTACTACCACAAACATGGGAAAGTCATTTTTGCATTTTTTGCATTAATTGTGCAAATATTCTGCTTCCGTGCCATTCTTAGTAGGCTTCTCAAATTTAGTGCAGAAATTGCTGCTGCTAGCCCCCATTGTGCAGAGCCACATTACTTACTGCTCTCCACCTTTTGTTAAAGAACATAGTTTTGAACATTATACTATAGTCTTACTTTCAAAAACTATTATGATATATGGGTCATAGTGGAGGGCTTTATATTGACTTTTACCCTCTGGGGTAGTATGATATGCTTTACAACAAAAGCACGAAGGCATAATGGTACTATTCATGCTTGCTGCAATGGTGTAGCGGTTACAGCACTTGGCTGCTAACTTCAAGGTCTTGGGTGGCAGTCCCATTCAGGAGGAGGTAAATTGCTAAAGGCACATGTGCCATATCTGTGCACCTTAAACAGCACCAAATGGTGAAAATTGCCAGAGCCCTCCGCTACGGCAACCTCATAATCATATTATGGCATATGATTAATATTATTGTAGTTGTTATGCCTCCATCAAAATGTGGCTCCATCAGCTCTGAGTTAATCCCACCTTCTCATGCTCAGTGCCAGAACACCTTGGCTGTCCGAGCCAGTGCATCGTAAGGGAATACGTTGTAGTCTAGAGAACTTCATTTTTTCATTATAAACGATTGACAACAAGCTTAGATTTTGCTGTTCTCAGTTACTTTTAACAACTTTTGCTTTCTCTGACACTTTTCCTGTGAATGGGATGCATGCAGTAGAAAAATAGCATTTTATAGAGGAGTTTGCTTTCTTTGCATTTGCTTAAAGGAAACCTCCTAGTTTAACAGGTCACCTCTAAGGCAACATAAAGACGTCAGGGCATCAGTTGAAGACATCGATAGGCACAACCCTACTAAATATGATAATCCCCTGATACGCACATATTTAATGGACGTGTCATGTACTCTTTTGTTATATCACAGATTTTTTTTCTCTCGTTTGTAGTATCTGCCGTACTTGTCTATTCATATTTCTTTAATATTCAATTCCGGTTTATATGTAAACTTAAACATGCTTATATATGTAAGCAACATCTAGTCACAGTGCGTAATGTATGTGTTTTGTGCTTTGTTCTTAAAAAAATGTGTATGCAATACACTTGGCTCAGTTTTGTCTAGCTTAAGTGGACATTTAGCATTATATGTTGCCATCTGTCTAGTTTCATTTATTGCAATTTTTATGATTTCAGAAGTTCATAGCATGCATAAGTTTTCCTATGCTTTCAGGTGCTGATATGATAAGTTCTTTTCAAAAATGCACTTTGGTAAAAAAATTGTGCGTGCTTTAGTCTAATTTCAGTAATTTTAGTACATGTGCAGAAGAACTTAATAAATTAGCACCTGAAAGCACAGGAAAACTTATTCATGATTTCAACATCCGAAATTTCAACTTCAGAGAGTAAAAAATAAAAATACTATAAAAGACTGCTTTCAGAAAACACCTTAAAAAAAAAAGACAACCCTTAATCTCCCCGTCATGTACACAGTGTGTCCTAAGAGACGTGTTTGGGACTTGCAAGGGATAACCCTGGGTTCAGGAAAATGCAGCCAAATTAATTTGCAAGGAATGTCTACCAGGGTTGTTTCGGAAAAGCAGTGGATATCCGATATTCAGTGAGGAGTGTACTGTGGACGTCCTTAGCATGTCATTGTTGTCACTGGAAAATAATTTATAAAAAAAAAAGAACGAAGTACCTAGCAAGAAATGTTTGAGGCATCATTTTTTGCACTTCTGCAAGATGGATGCGGATTTCAGTCTTTTGGAGTAGCCCTGTAGCATCAAAAGGTGTGTTTTGGAGCAGTCTTGGTGTATCAAAAGGGGGTGTTTAGGAGCAAAGCAGGTTAGTTTTCGGGCATATTTCTGGGGTCAGATATCACTGTTAATTTTTCTTTTTTTTTTTATTTCTGGGAAGTTTGAGGTTCCAGTGGTCTTTAGTAAATATTCAATGCTGACGAAACAACCGCATTCACCAAAAAACATACACACGCACATGCACACACACAAGTTGAATCAACGATATCAGTTTTAATAATATATCAGCTACAACCATGAATTCTGGCTGTTGGGTGTCTGTGCCTTAAGTATAATGAAATGCAAATTCTTGGAAATAGCAAAACAATAAAACCCAAGAAGTTCAAGCTACTGAACGTGTGCTTGTTGTAATGTTATATCATGCGAATGAGCTTAAAACAGCAGCTTTTATTTTCTTTGCATTACACGTTTGATTGCCAAAGTTTCATACAATATAGTAAGGTCTGTTCAGACCAGATTAGATGCCTTCCCTGGTGTCATCAAGGGTGGTGGTAGATGAGGGTTTAATCTCCTCTACAAATTTTCTATGTGTATATTATACACATGCACACATACAAGCATAAACATGCATAAATTATAGTTAACTAGTCCCCCGCCCCCGCCTCGCTAAAGAATTACTCGCTATGCCATACAACCTAGCATCCTTTCAGTTCCCACATAACCAGGGCCCTGACAAGCCCTGTCCAAGTAAACTTTATGCTCAAACAACAGGGCATCAAATGTGGCTCAATGTAACATCACCCCATTTCGGCTGATAACTCTTATGAAACATGACTAGCAGCGTTGGAAGTATTTTAATGGCCCCATTGCTAACTTTCGGCATCATATTATATTTGCACACATACCATCAGTAGGGGCCCCTTTGGAGTTCTTGTTTTGGGACTTGTTGTATTATGTACACTTATTCACAAAAAGTGCAGTAATACTTGATTAGACATGAAGTTATGTTAGAAATTAACTATATGGACATCCAGTAATAATTCCAGTCAGAACAATGCAGCAATACTAGAAGCTCTACAAGTCTGAATATGTACTCCATAAAAAATCCTTATGAACTGAAGTTTCTTGAAATATAGAGCTATTAGCACAAGCAAATTTCTAAGACTCGAAAGAATGTCCAGGAATCACAGTGGGGTAACAGACGGTTACCAAGCACCAATGATTGTGTGTGTGAGAGAGAAAATAAGGAGAAAAGCGGGGAGGTTAACCAGGGCTAAGCCCCTGTAGGCTACCCTGCACTAGGAAAGGGAAGAGGAGGAGAAAAGGTCACCGACTGGGCCGACGCGTAACAGTTGTACGTTTCTCATCACAAATGATGAAACAGGCCTGTGTCTTTGAAAGAACGCAACAGCGCTTTCGTTGCCTTTCGGAATAAGGATGGGCAGTGCCATGGTCCCAATACTTCCTCGACAGTGAAATCACTTCTGTCCAGTTGATTTAGAATACTGCGCAGGTGAAGCTCTTTCTTTGTGTATGCTGGGCAGTAACATAAGAGGTGTTCAATAGTCTTATCGATGGCATAGTCGTTGCACTCGACACTGTTGGCCATCTCAATCTTAAAATCTAAAGCTGCTATGCAAAAAGCAATTCAAACAATTTTGCAAGCCAGGATTGATTTGGATGAACCTGATGCTTCCAGGGACTATTCAGTTTTTTTGGCAACTAACGCCAATACTACGGGCCTGATGCAAAATGCAAATTAAAATGCAAAATATGGAGACGTAGTTCCCAACCAATGTTAAGGGGAGGTGCTACTCGAAGACACTTTTTTTAATATTTGCCCTAGAGCAATGAAACTTGAGCTGTTTATGAAATTTTTTATGCTGACTTCAAATATATAATTAATTTTCTTGCAAGTTGTTTACTTCTAGCTCAGCAAAATGTCAAAGTGAAAACCCTAACCCTATTGCACTCCTCTTTTCATCCCTAAACTTCCGTAATTTTTTACCATTCATAGTTTATAATCTTTCAACTAAAGTGCAGAATACAAATAACTAATTAAGAATCACATACAAAATACATAATAGGCATGAAAAATTAATGGACAAAATAAGCCTATATTTCATCTACCCTAGTAAAGGTTTACATATATTTTTCTATTATAAAATAAAATATTGAAATTTGAACTAGATAATTGTATTTGTCATACTTTGGAAAAAATTTGGGCAAAATTTCATGCAGATCCGAGCACTAGAAGTGCTTGAAAAAGGAGAGGCACATTAAAAAAACAATGACAAAATTTTTCTTTAAAAAAGAAAAATGTTTTAAAGTTAAAATTGAGTTTTCATTTATGGAAGATGTCTATAAATACAATGAAATTTGCACATCAAAAAGAACAACCTTTCTTATAGTGGCCACTGCCACTAAAATACGCCAGCACCATGAGTTTGTTTTTCTCGGCTTTTTCGAGCTGACTCCTCACAGATATTTTGCTCACAGACAGGGCCACGAAACGCTTGTAAAACTTCTTCCGCTCCATCTGGCAGAGCTTTGTGCCGACTACAAGCTAGAAAGAAGTTCAACAGGACTGCGAAATCTAAGCTAAGTCCAGTGTCAAGAGACACAACAGTGCCGATGTCATTTTGCGGCCACTTTTGTGCCACATACTGTCGTACATAACGGCAATGTCATCCCCGCTAACTTTCTCACTATGAGCTCCTTCGACCTCGCAAGATTGGCACTGACATCATCCGTTGCCGCATCACGAACTCTCCGGCTGATGGCTGTGAATGTCTTTTTATGCATTGGCTTTTGCGAGCCAACAACTGCTGCAAATCGGACCAGCTGCTCGTAGCCTATTCCTACAGAGCGCATCGCCGACAACGACCTTCACGCGCGAGCAATGGCTTTTTTCATTCATAACGAAGATAAATACACGAGAAGAGCATTGTTCAGCTGTGCTGCTCGACAAGACATGAAACCTGCAAGTAGGCGTCACAGCACATACAGGTACGCAGCGGCCAATGGCGGTTTCCGATCCATACCATGTGATAAGCCAGTCGTGGCACTCAAAAACGCGCAAAAGAATGCTACTTTTTATTATTTATTGTGTCTTGTCAGCGTGAGAAACTGTCGTTATTTGAAGATTGAGGCTCGACTCTTTGCTTCCACGATCGACAATGGCGAGCGGCGGTGCATTATCGGCCGCAAGGCGCTCGAAGACTGCACACTTTGGACCTTTTAACAGGCACCTTGTGCTCTTTAGACGCAATTTGTAAAGCATGTCCAGGTAGGTCTTCGCGCGTTTTTTTTTTTTTTTCAGAACAGTAGAGGTAATAAATTTATCAAGACAGGTGAAAATAAGAAATAGAAAATGTTGAAGAAAACTCGCGTTTTTCGACCCGCATCTCCCCTTAAGTACACTTCTGTGATTAATACCGTTTACTTCTACAATGGCCGTGTTTTTTTTTTCCCCTTTTCTGAGATTGGGGGTGAAAATCGCGGGTTCAGTCATTACATGGACAAATACTTTTATTTTATGCGTGTGTTCCCTTTTAGTGATGCTTGCCTGTATTTAGAAATACTGGTGTTTGCTGGGAGAAGGTGTAAAGAGAAAAGAAATAAGCAACAGACTTTTCCAGTTTTGAGGCAGGATTTTTCACTTCATTAAGAGTCACATGCATTCTTTGCTGGCTTTAAATGCTCCAAAAGGCATGTCTTTCCCTTGTACACCTTCACGTACGACATTGTGTTTGAAGTAGTCTAGCCGTTGCTCTCTGTTACACAGTGCAAAAGTAGGCCTTTTCCGTTCAGCAGCAAGCATTGCTTGTCTTAAAACCATTTCCTTTTTGCGTGTACTTGCTCATGAGCAGCATCGCCACAAACATATTCAACTGATTGTGAACTGTCTTGCACTGAGAGGTCTGTGTCTGAGGACTCAGGGCCATCACCTCTGCATGGGTGCTCATCATACCACACCCTTTAAAATCGCCAGGCATCTTAAATAAACTTTTCACTCATTCACATTAAGCTTCCAACTGCACGGTCGGATGCTATGAAGAAATAAAAAAAAAAAAAAACTTTCCAAATCCTCGCCGCACACAATTAGTAACACTGCTAATATCCTCAAAAATCAAGGGTGCACCTAAAAGATAGGTATTCTTCAGAAACGCCTTTTGGGAGACTGTTTAACAGACCTAGTTTGTAGGAACAGTTTTTAAACAGCTGCAGCCATAAACACAAGTATTTACAGTACCTTATATCCCTGTCACGAGGCAAATCTAATGCCATTTACAGCGAATGACATTATGTGGACCAAATGTCATTTTACTTGTGTGGTGTAACATGACAAAAACAAGTGTCATTTTAAAATGATGACCATGACCTGAACCTTCCTGAGCCATGGCTTTGGAGAAATTTGTATTAAAACTTCTATGTAACATGCACGCATTATAAGAAATCAACTTATCACTAAAAAGGTGCTCCTAGAATGTAAACGCAGCTGTTTTAAGCAACTTGCTGCAGCTGCACAACACAAATGAAGTCAAGCCAAGATCCAATCGAAAACAAACACGGCGGACAATATAGTGAACTGAAGCGGGGGTGCACGACCAACTCCCCAGCTGCAGAAATAATCGTTTCGTGTGGTCACCACCTTGATCACCAAAACACATTCAATCAGACATTCTACACCCGTGATACGGGCAACAACGACAACATAGCACAGCATGGCCAGTGTTCAGCCGCTGTAGTTGAGAGCAGTCTTTCTTTAAAGAAATTTTTGACCTTTTACGTGTGCTATTACATCATCAAACCAGTAATATAGTAAAGAATAATATATATTTACAAATGACAAAAGTTACGTATACTCGTAAAGTTCTATACAATAATACCTAGAGCAGAACTTGGCACTGTAATCATGTACCCCCATGGGAATTAGGGGAAGTACAGGCTTCGGATTGGATTGTGTTAGCTAGCAAACTATCAATGAATACTTTTCTACAGTTTCAGTTTCGTTCTTCAGCAGCATGGGTATTGTGGTGTGCGGTGCAAAGCACTGAAGCAGCGCCTTTGATGTTGAAAGAGGCTAAAGACCACAAGGTCTGAGGTTAGCTGTGGCTACAGAGCTCCAAGAGTTGCATTTGACAGTGTAAGTGAAGTGTCGTCCACTCACCGCTACGCATAGATGTAACATCTCATGCCAGTGCAGAGTATTACATAGAGTTCATGTTTTTTAGTAAGCGCGTCTTGCCAAACTGCATAACGACAGCGAAGCTAAGTAGACGCACTGTCACGCTCCTCCGACTTTCACGCTCCTCCGACTTGACTTCACAACAAAAGGAGAGGTACATTGGTGGCAGACTACTTGGACAGACGCACCTGGCATCGCAGCAGACGAAACGTTAAGTGTTTCACACTTCATATTATACTGTTATTTTAATAAATAGATAATGCGCCCTTTCGAGGGCAGAACAAGAATGTTTGTTTCAAGTGTTGTAAAAAATAATTCATTGTATCTTGATGCCAAATCTGGAACGCAGTGACACAGCAATGCATACCGTGGTGGTTATATTTGTCGAGGTTTCTCTTCTACTGCAAAGCCACAAATACTTTTTGCAATAAAGTTTGCGTACAAAAGAATCATGCAAGTTTAATTCCAATATAACTTTATATCACTTTGTATTACGCTAAACAACCAAGCATCGCGAATCTCAAGAATGCGATCCATCTGAAGCAGATTTGAAGCCTGTACTTCCCATAATTCCCATGGGGGTACAAGCGCCGCTAAAGGAGCCCGCATAGACACTAGCACCAGATTCCCCTCCAGGTATTATTGTATGAAACTCTATGCATATACTAAAGTTAACTGCCATCTCTCTACAAGTTCCTGGCATCATAACTACGCATTCAGTCTGAAATCGACTGTGAATTGTCTCAGGAACTCATTCGAATGAAAATGTCACTTTCCCCACAACACAGCAAACAAATAACATTACAAATGAATGACATTTGCTGTAAATGACATACTTGCCGTGTGACAGGGGTATAATGCCATCCCAGTTTTGCACACGTCGGTGTAGTGATGTGCACAAGTAAAATCTTGCTAATTGCTCCTTAAGGGATCCTCCTCTAACAAGTGGCTAGAAGATGGCAAAAGTACTGCTACTATGACCACAGTGTAGGGCACATCATAATCTCTCCTGTTGTGCTCTATTGTAGAACACACAGAACATGCTCTAGAGAACTGACATTTTGCTGTAAAAGGACGGAAGCCACACAATACACAGACAGTAGAAGTGGCCTTTTACAGAGTGTGCATGTTGCAGTCGTGGTGACAAAGGCATACACTGCTTGCGCACATCCATGCACATTGTTCTTGAAATAGATCTCTCGAAGTGCTGGCCAAGTATGTGAATTCTACAGACGGCACATACCATACAGCCACACAGATACAAGCACACTAGAAGAAGCACCAAAGCTGGTCCACTCTTCTTCCCAGAGGGCATCTCATCGTGCAGGTGGCTGCTGGGATAGAAGAACATTACAGGCCGGTCGCTGTGACGTGGCAGCGCCACAGTAGTCAACGACACTGTCTGGTGACTGGAGTGACTGAGCATACAAGGGGTTCACATTGGCTGCATCGAAGTGGGTGCTGTCGTAGAGCGAATTGTTCTGCACAAAAAAACAAAAAAACAGCACACCTCTCAGCTACATGCAAGACCGTTTTATGGCAACTCACCACTCCTCACTTGAGAGAGCCTGGTAAGCAACAGTGACCACCTCAACTTGCGTGCACTCACAAGGTAATAAAAGTCATGGGTTATATAAACTAACTGCAATTTCATCCTGTAGTTTTGCAAGAACTCCAGCCAGCTCTACTCCGCAAATACTGTCGAAACAGCGAAGCCTAGAGTGCCTCGATGCGAGCATCCTCCGCTCAGAGTGAAGACGTCTGCATCGTCTGCTACAGCGGTCGCCATTATCGCTCCCACTGTATACCGGTTTTGCGGTGGCAGGAAGTGGCTTACTAGCTTAATGCGAATGGTTGTTGCACTGAAAAGCGCGACATCCAGGAATACCTGACCAAAAAAGTGGCACGTGAGTCCTACAGCTGAGCAAAGATGCTGCAGGCACTACAATAGTGGAGAAAACAGTACAAAAGGTGGCAGCTTCCTGAGTGGGAGCAGGCACATCGAGGCACCCTAGCGAAGCCGATGCCACTCCTCTCCAAGATATCGTGCTTTTCTGCTTTTTCGAGTTTTCCCTTCGTTGGCGCTTAGCTTCAATCTCTTTCGCGTGAATGTCGCATTTGGCTCGGTGACGACACGTTCGTGTCGGCTCTTGCTGACGCTCACGTTGGGTGGCTTGTTTATCGGGAGCAGTTTCATCCATTATGACTGTGCAAGCTCTCTAACGGCCAATGCCCTCCTATATACTCTACTGAGACACTCAACCAACTGCTCACAGAATGACTGGACTCCTCTGCCGAACCCGACTCTAGCATCTGTCATTGGTTAAACCCTCACCACTCTCCCACTGAAGCTCACTTCTAGGCCGTGTGATCAGCGCCGCGGTTAAACCCAAGACTCCAAACAGGTTTCCTTATTTTATTTTTGCCTGCAGGACAGAGATGGGAACAGCTATTTCACAAGGCATCATGCACACAGCTAGACGATTGTTCATTTTAACAGGCTGCTACTAATTGAAATTAGTTGTGCTGCAAACAAGAGCAATATCAGCAAAACTTACCAAAATGAAAGAGTACTTAATATTAATAAGTTTCAGTAATGACTACATTACAAAGCTTTCCTAAGCATCATGAACACCCTCATTAAATTTTTACATGCCGCTAGTAAACGGCATTATCAATTGAACTTACTAAATCTGAACAGTGTAAAGCACAGCAGTAAGGATTAGGCAAGACAAATTGTCACATGTACACAAGTGGCACTAACTGCCCTGCAAACAGCATTACCATAAAAATTGACCACAACAAAATTTATGTTAACATCAATGAGATGCAATAGTAATGATACGCACGTCAATTTCTGCAAGCTGCTCATGGGCGGCATTTATTGTCCAGGAAACAGCTCTATTGTCTTCCAAATTATGTATAAAAATGCTTATTAACACATTGAATGTCGAATTTTTCTGAAAAAATGTCTGAGACAGTCAAACTGCTTTATTGTGGTTTTAGAATGCAATAAAATGTAAAGTCAGGAAAACATAAAAAAAATTTAGAAACAATATTTTGGTGTCGGATTACTCAGTACTACATAATGTTCAATAGTACTGACGTTCTTGAATCAATGTTCTTAAAATGTATGGTGTATAAATACATTATGCCACGTTATACCTGCGAACTTCTTCATCTTGTCTGCCCACTCAACTTTCTGTCTCCCTCTCACGTGCTTGCCTTCTTTAATGAATTACCCTGCCTTTGCGCTACAAGCTTGGTCCATGTTGGTTTCTTCTTTTGGATTTGAACTCCGACATCGTCAACCCTTGTTTGTTTTCTGACACACTGCTCTCTTCTTGTCTGTTAAAGTTACACCTATCATCTGCCTTTCTATAGCTCGCTACGTCATCCTCAATTTAACTTGAGCCTTTTTTGTAAGCATCCAGGTTTTTGTTCTGTCATGTAATTGCCGGTAAGATGCAGCTGCTGTATACCTTCTTCTTGAAGGATAAGGGTAGCCTACCATTTATAATTTCAGAATGCTTGCCAAATGTGCTCCCCTCCATTCTTATTCATCTAGTCATTTCCCTCGCATGATTTGGCTCCGCGGGAGACGATGACGAAGTTTTATCGTTCAGTTGTCAGTTTCCTAGGCTGCTGTAATTTTTTCTATTTTTTGTGTGCCATCGTGCATCTTTGGCACCCAGCACTGCTTGTACTAGTCCTCAAGATGTCTGCTTTGCTGGGGGGACCCTCCCTGCAAGGCTCGCTATGGAGGAGATGGTGGTAGACTTGCCTAGCGGCAGGTGTAGGCCTGCCACAGCGAGGAAGCGGCTCAGTTCTTCAGTGGCATCAGAAGCTACCGATTCCGAGTCTGATGTTAGGTCAGATGACTCTGATGCCTTTCTGCTTACTAAGCATCTACAGCCAAAACAGAAGTCGGTGGCATCGCCCTCGAGTGAAGAGACCACAACATACAGCAGCCTTGTGACTGCAAGTTGCTTATTAGCCTGTGGACGCCACGGTAAGCCTGAACACCATCTTCAAACAGAAGCTTCATGACTTTTTTTCAAACTTCCCCCTGCTCTGATTCAAAAAGTTCGAGTGAATCCCAGGAAAGATATCAGTGCCATCGATACAACAGACGAGAAGATTGTACACATCCTGCTAGGTCTAATTCTTTCGGTTTTCCGCAAAGCAGAGATCCAACTAAACTGGTTGAAATGTCACTTCGGCCGCCAGCAGCTCACTGTCTTTGGACACCTTGTCGATTCTTCTGGTGTTCGTCCCGATCCTGAGAAAGTCCGCGCCGTCATAGATTTCCCTGTGCCAACTTCTGCGAATGACGTTCCAAGCTTTGTGGGTATTTGTTCTTACTTTTGTATATTTGTGCAAAATTTCCCTGACATCACATGCCCGCTCACGGAACTACTAAAAAAATATGACTTTTGTGTGGAAACCTGAACAAGCCAGAGGATTCGTTGAACTGGCGACCAGGCTTACGGTGCCACCGATTCTCGGCCACTTTGATATATGCGCTCCAATGGAAGTTCGTATCGACGCCAGTGGCCACGGAATCGGAGCCGTTTTGGCACAACGACAGCATGGCTGCAAGCGTGTTATTGCATACGCTAACCGTCTTTTATCGCCAGCAGAACAAAATTACTTAATCACGGAATGCGAATGCCTTGCGCTCGTCTGGGCAGTGGCTAAATTTCGGCCGTATTGGTATGGACGCTTGTTCACGGTTGCCACTGATCACCACGCCTTATGCTGGCTGTCGTCCTTAAAAGATCCTAGTGGACATCTTGGTCAGTGGGCTCTATGGCTACAGGAATATTCCTACACGATCGTCTACAAATCAGGTCGCCACCAGTAGCGGGGCCACCATAAGGTGAAGCCACTCTCATACAGAGGCTGACCCAGAAAAGTCATGAGGCATAAGTGAAACTAAGAAGAGCATAAATTATTCTGACATATTAGTGCATGCTGTTTGCACACCAAGCAGGAGTTATTTTTTCAACTGCCACAGGAATTCGCAAGAAATGGTACGTAACACGACCATAAGAAGAACTCTCAATACTATGCCATGCAGGCAGTCAGATTGCTTTACATAGTAGGCTCTTATTTAATGCACCACACTTACTGTTCAAAACTGCTGCCTTTGTATTTCACAGGCATTTATGCATACATGAATTCCTAAAGTGCATTGCTAGCTTTGAAAAATGGGCTCCAATCTCGCTGGGAAGGTGGCTGGCCAACAGAGATGGTGTGCAATTCCCGATGTGTCCACCTCAGCCACCCCCCATTTGCCGGGGCTGAGCGAGGAGCACGCCCCTTTTCCAGTTAGTCTTCTGCAGCGTCATTTTGACATCACGGCGCCTTCACAACTCTCTGCATAAATCAGAAGGGCAGAACGTGCATCCTCGCGACGAATGCAGCCCCCAGAGATACCCTTTTGGATCCACATCTCGGATGCCATGCATGAACTCCGATTACGTTCGGCCTCAAATTGAATAAAATGTGGCTGCCCGCCTAACACACTTGGAAGGTCAGTTCGCATTCAATGCATCATTACTAAACATAAGCAAGTTCAGACTTGTCAAAATTTATTTCAGTACCTTGTTACTGTATTTTTTGTCCACTTTCTTTTTCTTTACACTGGCGGGTTAGTGCATCGATGTGGTTAAGAGTATCAAGACGCCATGGCCTGCCGCCTTTACAAGTATGCGCTCCGCCCAAGTGTCCACAAAATGGACACCCCGAGTAAAGCTTCCCTGTTACCTACTAGTAAGACCAATATGAGAAAGCCCCGTGCAAGTGAGCAATCCACTACGCAAAATGAGTGAGAGCAAGTCATCATGCTCCTTGGGAGTCCAAGCCATGCATGATGGAATTCTCAAGATACTGCTATACATGTATCTGTGCTTCAGGCTGACAATATTAAATCAATGGTCCATAACAACAATAGCACAGTGTTATTAAAAGTTAATACTTTCCATGGTAATACCACCCAAAGATTTAGAAGAACAAAGCAAAAGTACACAATCTTGCATGCATAATTTCACTGGAGCCTAACTCCTGGAGTGCTTCTTTGGCATCTAAACATGCTAACAAGCCCCGGGATCGCAGTAATACGCTGCTTCACTATAACAAGTGAGTGGTGGTGTCATTTGTCACCTGCCAGGGCACTTGAGAACTTTTTGAAACTTCCTAATCTTCTAGTCTGTTGTAAGTGGACGAAAGTACTGCCACAGGCACATTTTACCCATTTTTTTAAAATTCACAGTGGTGGTCCAGTAAGTTCATGATTTGCAGAAGGAAAAAGTCTGTTTTGAAGCAGGTTTAAAGCAGGAGAAACAGCGTTTTGGGCCAGGTTTGAAGCAACCAGAACGGGATTTAAAGATCACTTCAGGCAGGACATCCCAATATTTTTAGCGAAAATTCTTACGAGTTTGCTTGCTGAAAGAGCTGCTGCGATGTAAACAAGAAGGCAAGATCAATATCCAGAGAGCAAATGCTAATCAGTTTCTTAGCAAGAAAGAGTATCACCCGTTGGGTTCACTACACAGCACAAGGTATGCATTAAGGTGAAACATTAGTGATGAAGCAAGCACAGCACATACAATTTCTGCAAATGACAGGTATCGCATTGTCATCCAAAAAAAATCCTAACAAAAAAGCCAGCTGTCACACAATTGAAGAAAGGTGAAAACACTCGTAAATGAAAACATACTATTTGTAATTTCCTGCATAGATAGTGCATTCAATAATCCCCACAGCTTACTCCAAATGGTGCTCCATTGTACTCGGTGATTATTAGAGGCATTAGCACCGACCGATATCTTACAAATACTTTCTGGATGAGTATTTAATTCTGGTTTTCCAAATATTAAAAATGGGTACCAAGTAATCTGCAATGAATGGGGGGTGGTAAGCAATCAAAGCAAAAAGAGGGGAGCTCTTTTTCAATGCAGCCTGTCAACACCTCGCGTGCCACACGGTTGGGGATATGAGGACAGATTAGGTGGGAGGAGAGCAAAAGAAGGCGTCACACCTTCTCTCCCACAATTGCCACCACTTGGATACTACGCCTTTGATTCTGAAACTGGACATCTTGCCAGGAGGCTTTAGGGTTCGCTGCGCAAGTGCTGAGAACTAAGATGACTACATCTGGTCTGTTTCTCAGTTATGCATTGCAGTGTGGACTTATAGAAGCCACCGCACAATGTAGTTAGATAGTCCAGGAGCAGTGAAAAATCCATGTGGCAATGCCGCTCGTCAACGTGCCATCTGCAAACAAACGATGGTCATAATGAGCGCTCTTGCAAGCATACTTTTCAACAAGAGAGAGGGAATCAGTTGGGGACATGTGCCTTCTTTGTCGATTGACTACAACATTGATTGTTCTAACAAGTTTAGGATGCGCGAGACCACTTTTTCTTTATTTGTGGCTGACTGCGTGGCATAGTTTTCATGAGCGATGGTATGCCACCACATTACGCCGATTTCACAATTAAGATGCGTGACGAGCAGCTTGCTGTGCGCGAACAGCACCAAATTGTGCCAGATGTGATCTACATGGGCATTTAGGCTTAGCTTCACAATAGGCAAATCGAAGAATGTTGCGCAGCACGGCCGAATGTTCGTTTCTCTGAAGACATTCTTTACAGCATGCAGTGCTGATAGCTGTTCGGCTGCGGTGGCTACATTACGGTACGTGGAGTGACGTGGAGAGTTGTGAAGGTATGTCTGTTTTTCGAGAAACGAGTCAATGAAAGCCTCTTGCGAAGGGACAGGTCACCCCTGGGCCGGTGCGCGCTATTCCCCTTTCCCGGCTCACGGAACAGGTTCCCCTTCCTCTGCGAAAAAACAAACCCTCATCAAGGAGGGGGAAACCGGGACGGTGGAGAAAACGAGTGTGCCAACAATCCAACGCTCTCTGTTGCACCGGCCACCAAGCAGGAAGGACGACCCCCGGAATTGCCTGCAAGCCAAGGACATCGACGACCAAAGGCGTAAGCGTCTATCCTTTGTTATCTGTTTAGAGCGGAAGTCCCTTTACGCGACATTTACGCATTATTGCTAACGTAGCAATAAAGTGCTGTTTTGTTGACATAGTCTGTTGCCTTATTTGCCCGAACCCGTGTAGCTGCGATGACTCGAGCTACGAAAAGGGGACGTTAATCTTGCACGGTACGACTGTGTGCGACTGGAACACTAGCTAGGCTTCAGCGTCAGCCGTACATAGGACGGACGCCCTACATCTGGCACCCAATGTAATGAATTTTGCAATGCGGCAAGTTTCGTGGTCGAGAGCGACTACCAATGCTCCTCCAAACGTAAGACAAATGGCATGTCGAAATTCCAAGATTTGTTCTTGTTGTTCGATGTTGTGTTGCAGTGTCGATGCTTTAACTCGGGGGCATTGTTTGGACATTCCGACAGCGTATATTTGGACTGTTTTATGCGAGATGACCAGGATGTTGCATAGACCGCGTTAGCAGAGATTAGGCCTACGACAAAAAGTGCCACGCATGGCGCTCCGTCACTTCACAACGCCAACAGAGAGGCGCTGCCACAAGTTGATCCAACACATGCCGCATGTGTAGGCGAGTCTTCGGGCAATAGTTTGCAATCGAGCGAGATACTCTTGCAGAATGCGCTGTCAGTTATGCAAAGCCTGCCCAGTGCCCTGCAGAACACAGCACAAGCCCCCGTGCAGAATGTGCGACCACGTGTCAAGGTAGACATGCCTACCTACATTGGCTACTACGACTGCAAGAGCGCTAACGAGTATCTCGACCAGTTGTTCCACTATCGGCAAGCAACGGGGCTTTCTGAAGCCGAACTTCTCGAGCGTGTGCTCCCAGTGTCGCTCACAGACAAAGCAGCTCGATGGTTCTGACTTACCAGACATCCGGCCTGCACAGTAAAAGAGTTCTGCGGCGAATTCTTTCCGGCTAATTATGAGTGGCGTTTGCGAAGGGAGTTGGAGCTATGCACCCAGAATCCGGACGAATCCTTGCTGTAGTACTTATGGGTGATGGACAAACTGTGTCGTCTGGCTAACCCTCACGCCACCAATGTAGAAAAAGTCGAGTGCATTATGCAACAAGCGCACCCGACTTTCGTGATGCACTTTAGGTGATGCAATTTCGAAGACCTAGAAGAAGTCGCAACCGAGGCAAAGCACATACAAGAGGACATCCTTGCTGCGCGAGCGTTATCAACCACCTCCACCCTCAGCGCAGTCAATCAAGCCTCGCTGTGCGTAGAATGGTGGCCCAGTAGCTTCAGAGACATTTAGGTGTAACGCCTCAGCATAGTGTGCTGATGAGCATGTACCATGCGGTTGGGAGTTGTCAGACCCCGCTTTAGATCCTTATACTTACGCGCTCCGTACGGGCCATGCTGCCCCCACAGGTAACATTCTACGGCAGGAGCTCGTGGTCAACACGAGGCCTGACGAGCGGCGCAACCTGCAGCAAGGCCCACTGGATTGGGGTGAATTGCGATCGAACCGGCGTGGTTTCCGCAGTCCTTGCTATCAGTGTGGTGCACAGGGGCACATCGGCCACAAAAGCGGCCGCACGCCGGGTCAGGAGCACACACGCAGTTCAGGACATGGATGGAACCGTCTGTTAACCACTGCACAGACGGTTCCAGTAATTAACAGACGGACACTGCGTCCGTCATATCGGACACTGCGTGGCAATCAGTAATTTCACCAATGCGTTTGGATTCCTTGCACCTCAGTCTGCCATGCAGGTGATGCTGTAGACTCACCCGCACCGCTAGTCGAGTCAACAATAGGTCGAAAGAAGTTTGTAGCACTTTTGGATACTGGGACAAGCGCTTCTTTACTTGGCGACGATGTGTTGCACCATCTCCGCGAGAACAATATCCGCTTGAGACAAAGCAACACCATCTTCCGCCTTGCTACGGGCACAGCACAATCGAGCGGCATGGCTAGGCTAGTGATTTGCTGGGAAAGACGGGTGAGGCGACAATGTTTCGTGCATCTTACTGGGCTGTCAATGTTGCTGATCCTGGGTCGAGGCTTCCTCGCCAAGTTGCTGACATTGCAAACGGCGGTTATCAAGAGTGCAACGGAGATGCACTAAAGTTTTTCTCGAATGCTCCCACATTGACAAAGAGATTCCGATCACAGGGAAAACCGTGAGTACGCGAGGAGAAAAGTGTGCCGAGAAAGCGAGTAACCTTGCCAGAATAATGTGCTGCGCTATAGAAACAGTCATTGCACCCTCTTTTGCTGTCGTCGCTGTTGCACCAGTACAACGCGATGTTCACTGATTGCCCCGGCCGCACTACGTTGGTCAAGCACAGAATTGACACGGGTGATGCATGACCTTCGAAATGCAATCCCCGACTGATCAGCTTGGCTAAACAGAATGCACTTGGCGCAGCCTTGGACAAACTCATCGACACAGGCATAGTTGAGAGGTCAAACAGCCCATGGGGTTTCTTGATAGTTCTAGTTTCAAAGAAAGACGACACTTGTGTAGACTACCGCAGGCTGAATGAGGTTACGAAGAAGGATGCATACCCTCTTCCCTCCATTTCATTGTTAGTATCCAACCTAGGTGGGGCAAAGCACTACACTACACTCGATGCTGGCCGTGGATATATTCAGGTTGAGATGGACAACACGGATAAAGCAGAATATTTGCCCAAACCCTTGTGGCTGCAATGACTCGAGCTACGCAAAAGGGACGTTAATCGTGCACGGTACGACTGTGTGTGGCTGGAACATTCGCAAGGCTTTTGGGTCAGCCGTACGTAGGACGGACCCCCTATACAGCGGAGTCACACTGTGGCATGGAGACTTTGGTTAGGCTTAATATAATAACAAAAAGTCCATTGCTGGAATGGAGCAAATAGAGGGTGTCGGGTGCAATATAGAAAAGCTGAACTTGCCTTTTTGTTGCATAAACAGTCCTATGCATGTAAAAAAGTGTGCCACAGAACTACAGCACAGTTGGCAGAAGCTACACTCAAATTTGCAGCACAGCAAGGTGCTGGAATATGGAAGTGTAGCAAAATGGCTCTGCTGGGCCACCACTGAATTCAGATGCAATTACTACTGCACTCGCATGTCTCTAGACATTCCTAGTATATGAGCCACTCAGCCTAGTTGCAAAGGAAGGTGCACTTACCCCAGACAGCAGGTGCTGGTTCACAGGGACAGAAAGTGGGGGGCATGCTGCATGCAATGCACTGTGTGTTACTCGGGAAGCATGCAGGCCAAACAAAGTAAAATGCTTCACTTATGCTGGAAATCAGTAGGCAAGGAGAAGAATAGCATGATGCAAGCATTTTGTAATAGTGCTCAGACACAGCTAGAAATGGCCCATTAGGGAAATTCCCTAGATGAAGGAAAGGAAGCATTCACAGGTTGGTTTCTTCATCCTTTGCTGGTTTAAACTGCTTCAATAATCTCTAACATGCATCAGTGTTATCTAATGCTCATGATACTAAACCAAATCAAGCTGACCTAAGTAATACAGCTAACTGGTGCAATAGCTGGTTAATGAAAATAAAAAAATGTAAAACAATGCAAGTATCCAGAATTAACTTGAATCTTAACAACTATCATCTAAACAAGATTCACTTAGATTGTGTCACCTCCTATAAATACCTTAAGGTGCACATCACAGACGCTTCAAGTTGGAAAACTCATACAGAGTACGTCATCAACAATGCTAATCGCATGCTCAGGTACTTACAACGTAACTTTTACAAAGCACCCTCTTCCTTAAAATTAATACTCTAAAAGTATCTCATATGCTCCAAACTTGAGTATACATCTGCCATAAGGGATCCCAACCTAACCTTATCATCTCTCTTGAACTAGTACCAAATACCTCCACTAGATTCATCATAACTACTATCGCACTGCCAGTATAATTTAAATGAAAAATTATTATCACCTAATCTCTTGGCTCACCAATGCAAAATCACCTGTCCTTCGATATTTCTAAAAATTTTCCAACATGAAACACTTGATAATGACCTTACTCTCCGGCCTCTGCACATTTTAAACCATGTTGATCATGGTTTCACACGAAGTAACACGAAATCTTTTTTTCAGTCATTTATTCCCTGTGTTAAGGATCTCCCGTCGCCTCATGCGGAGTACCCAACCAAAAACACGCAACATCTCAGTGTTGGGATGCACTTACGCTTTCTACAACCCCCACAGAGGCCTCCTCGCTTTTTACAACCCCCAAACAGCTCTCCCCTCATGTCGGCATAATCATACACCACACCACCCTCACGGCACAAGCGGCGCGACGGGTAGTGGGGCTTTCTTAAAAAGGCATCTAGACTGTGCATGTGACGTTCAACAAGTACAAATGAAAACAAAAAATACTGTGAGGGTAAAAAAGAGTGGCCGGCACGAGAAAAATTAAAAAACTAGAGGCAGAAACTTTCGAGCCACAAACCAAGAATCCCCTCTCAAGACACTTGTTGCACATTCTGTAAAATAAAACTTCTTGTTCTAATTATAATTGAAATTTTTATAACATTACCGTACATTTTGGGATAGGAACCACCCTCCCTAAAGTGTCGCAAGCTTCACTAACTGGAAAACTTTTTCATGAAACATTAGCTAACATTGCATAACCAGGAAAATTTTTTACCTGTACTCATTGCTCCTGTTTGTCCATTTTATTTTACTTTCTGTAAATTACTACTACTGTTAGTATAATCTGGAAAAATGATCTGTTAACTGAATTCACTGCACTGTTTTACTTTTCACATTTCACATATTTTATCCATTCTCCTCTTCAATGTCATATGGCCCTGAGGGTATTATAAATAAATAAATAAAATAATAAAAAATGCATGACCTGTGTCATCACTCCCCCGAGAAAAGTCATTACTAGTCGTAAAAGAGTGTAGTTTCTCTATAGAAATAAAATTATAACAGCTTTGTTTTTGGCCTTGTGACTTGCACAATGATATCGATTCAAGAATAAGTAGGTTTATGCGAATATTCAATGTTCACGAATATTATTTTTGCACATGTCACTGTGAAGAATTTGCGATTTTGCGCATTTGTTATAAGAGCCTCAGAAGATCATGCAACGATTACAAAGACTTCAGCACCAGTGCGGCGATGCCTGCATAGAATGTTACAGGAGCGTGGTGACGGCTACCGATGAATACGGCGGCACATCATAGCAACAAACCTATCAACAATAAACATCTCAATCGATCTAAATAATGTACTGCCTGCCTGGCAGTACGTGTGACTTAGCGGTTTAGCGCCGTTATGATTTATGTAAGCGTACTGACCAGGCCCTCCACTGCCGCGCCCATGTGCGTGAGACCGCAAGTGCGCATCGCGGCTAATGCACACATGAACGAAGAGATGCACGGATACAGCACGGTCCATATGCACGCAATGAACGCTCTATGAACTCTCAACAGCAAAAGTTTGCGGTATGTGCAGCGCGCGGCGGAAAACTGCATTATGGAATCGAAGGTAACGCGCCGCATTAGCTCGACAAAATAGTTTTCACACTTTTGAGCATGAAGAAAAGCAAATATCCCTACGCAAGGGCGAATGCACGAGTATACATAAAGCCCCTCCTCCAAGTAACAGCACTCTCCTCCGCGCACGCGTTTACTCCTCGATTCTTTCCTCCTGCGTTGCGGCGCCATTTTTTGATGGGGCTACGGAGGACTTGCCTGTCCCTTCCTCATTTATTCCTCCTCCCCCTAAAAAAATGTTGATCATAAGATAGAGAACACTGTAATGAACGTTTCTTAGAAGATTAGTTTTTCCGAAAGCCGCACGACCTTAAAAGCAGCTTGTGCTATTTTAAAAGCAACTTCATGAAGTGTTCTATGATGCAGGTGTTTTTGTTTTTCACATAACATGCTTTATGTTTGCATTATGTATAGTTTTGCTTGTGGCAACTGCTTATATAGACGTTAAAAGAAGCAGGTAGCGGCAACCACTTACTATCAGCTTGAGGTTCACATTTCTCTGTGGAGGGTAATGAAAAAATAATGTTCGAACTGTGTCAGGCTTCAGGTTTTCCCCCAAATAGTTGTAAAATATGCGGCTCAGATTGGCCTTCAATGGAATACAGCAACAATGTATAGAAAGCAGCTGATCACTCAGACACAATGGATAATTTCATTCACGAAATGACACTCTGCAGTGCTAAAAATTATTGGTACAGAACTTCTCTGAATTATTATGTAACAGTCATAATCGTAACTGACTGCTAAATCTTCGTGGCCAAACTCATCGATACTGTGTTACATCAATAAAAAAAGGTCCCCAAAAACTGCAGAAAGGTGAATTTAAAACACTAACTGAGCAAGCGAGCATTTTAGGCCTCTGCCTCGAAGTTCATATCACCAATAAGCGAGTACGATCCCGTGAACACCTCATGCACGTCACCCGTGTCATGCGCGAGAAACCTAAATAATAATCGCCACGCAGTCATGCACGCGCTGACATCAAAATTCAAAAGTAAATTATTGAACTGAAAAAAAAAAACCCACAATTTTTGCCAACTGACGCTGTTCATTAGCAATATCACGGGCGTGCATATCGTTTTGACAAAAGCCTGATTCCTCATCAAACACAAAATATGACTGTCGGCGTCTCACGTCATCGGGAACAGGTGATGCAAAGAATCATCCCGACATGAGCTCACCATATGACCGAAATTCATTAAATGTCGCAAAATTTGTGGTGTTATATAACGTTACAGTGCAGTCATGTGACGCAACTTACGCCACGTGACGTAACAACTCGTTTTTGCTATCAGAATGTTAATGTTTTTTTCTCGACAATTTTTTTCTGGCAGTGCTTATTTTTATTTTTTTAGCACCAGCATATCAAACTTGTGTAATTGTTTTGTGTGTGAATAACCGCCCCGCCCATAAAAAAAGAACACCATTTGGTGACCATCGCCAGTATCACCTCGATATATTCACTCATTGACTCATTTTTTCAGCATTATTTTGAACAGATCCTAATGATCATGATAGGTGCAATCGAGGTTCTGTATCACAGTCGTAACTGCTCGCTGCAGAAAGCAGTCTCTGTAGTTCGTTTCAGGCTGAATAACAGTAGCCTACGCGCGATTTGATGGAGTCTCAGCAGAATTTTCAGTACATTTAGGAGAATCCTATTTTGATGTAACAACCAGTTAGCTGCAAAAAAACTATGTTTATCATGCGGGAAGAAGACTCAAATACGTACAGCATTCGGTGATGCTTTCATATGAGCAATAAGAAATGCGCCGACAATCACAAACAACACGTTCTTCGACGGCATTAAGTTCTTTCAGCCGATGTAATGCAGCGACTGCTTCGTACAAAAGCTATAACGTTTACCTTAGATATCGTAAAAAAAGCGTGGCTATTCATATTCTGGTTGCAACAGCTATAGGGGCAACCACATGAGATGGTACCAGAAAACAATGCAGAAAACAAAGCACGTGCTATGTTCGCTATGCGCGGTTCCAACAAAAAAGAAAAATATCAGCACAGCACATGAGCTGCGCATCTTAAGGGCAACCCCTAATGAGACCAATCATCGTGCAGAAACAGCGGCGGAAAACGGGAGCAACTCGGAAGGGGCAAGAAGGGAAAGAGAAGGTTGTGCATGCAGCAGTCAGTTCACTGAATGGTGGTGCTTTCCCAAGATGAAGGGGTTCTAGAGCTTAGTAGTTGATGCACTGCACGCAACTAGCTAGGGGCGCGCTCAACTTGACGTACGACCGTAATGCATTTTATGTATAGCTATTCCAGCTTTTACTAATGGATTGCTGCACAAATTTAAGCGCACATGTTGAAGCCCGACGAGTCGTCTATGAACAGTGCTGCGACTTCAGCATGTATACTCGTCATAGTTCCGGAATGATTTCATGGTAGCGGATATGGTCATGCAAATGAGCTGAAGTGTTTTTCCATGCAATGGCAAACATAGAAAAGGCCATGCACTTTCAGTAACGTTACACTGGCGCTACCACATGTAGTTGAAAAATGGACTTGCTGCGCAAACTTGAAGGAAAACGAGAAGGAAGACAGAAAAGAGAGCTTTCCTTCAAGTTTGCGCAGCAAGTCAATTTTTCAAGTATGAACCAACTAGTCTGCAAATAAGTATTGCTTCATATGTAGTTCTTTGTTGCTAACTGTGGCACATGCAAGGTGAAGGACGGATTAGTGAGA